TTTTCTTAAATCATAGGTCTAGGTAAACTATACTTAAATCCAAAATATTAGGCCATTTGGTTTTACCTATGAAAAATGCCACCTAAAACAAGTTTGAGGGGGTCAAAATTGACCCTAAAAAGTCACTAAAATTGGGTGTGGTCAGTATTTTGGTAATTTCTCATGAATGGTTTGACCGTTTGAGATCAGACACCTCTCATTAGATAGGGAACAGTATAGGCTACAAATTTATCCTATTTTGATGATTCATATCTGTGATAAAAGAAACGCTATAGATCAAAAACCTTCAAAGTTTCAAGAAATCCTACACTCTGAGATAGCAGTATTTTGGGCTTTTCTTGAGTGGTACAAGCGATACTAAACTTCTTTTTTTACCAGACATAGATCTTGTCAAGATACATCTTTTGACATTAAATTGTCAAGACAAAAAAACTCGGGAGCCAAGTTAGCATGGACCACACTGTGGCCTGTTCTACCTAGTCAGCATTGATCCTACCCCACAAAGACATACAATTTCTACAGAAATCACGAAAATGGACTTTAGATTCGTGTTCAGCTTGAAAAACTGGGCTAGATAGGTTATTTTAGATTGATTCCTTATTTGTACCAAATGTGCTGAAGATCATGGGTCCACCTCATGGATATATGATAGATATATGCCACGGTATTTTGATAATAATTCACCAATATTCATAGCTATCGGGTTCTGCTTTTTAATATTCGATAGCCCTTTTCGAAAGCTACAAAACTATATATTTTCCAAGCTTAAAACTCTTGAGCTCCTGAGCCATACCGAGACACATTGGTCTTGGAGCACGATTTTATGCATTTTTGCTCTCTGTTTAGCCTCTTTTCCGTCACAAAACAACAAATCAAATCAAAACTAATGTCATATTCGGAATCAGCGTTAAAAACTGAGTCGATCCATGTACGTTTTAAAGATTTCTGAGAAAAAATTTTTTCCTATGAAAAAATGACCCTGTACTCCCCTCAGGGTTCATGAAAAAATGATTTCTCTCAAAATGGCGCTTTTGTTATTTAGTCTTTTGTGATCTTACTTTTTTTGAAATAAGAGAAGCTCGGCTATATCATTCCACACGA